AGGAAGAAGGTGATGGGTGGGCCCCCCAAGAGAGGGGCGTATGGTCATCAAGCTAACAACTATTTTGGGGATGTGAACGGCTAGGAAGAAGGTGATGGGTGGGCCCCCCAAGAGAGGGGCGTATGGTCATCAAGCTAACAACTATTTTGGGGATGTGAACGATAATGCTGATGGCGGGGAGAAAGGGGAGGAAGCCAGAGGGATTAATATAAACGAGGCGGCAAAGGGGGTCGGAGAGGAGGATATCGACATGATAATCGATCTGGACACGACCGATGATATGCTCGGGAACCTGCAGAATCTGCCGTTCCTCAAGGATGATGGAATCAATATCCACCTAGGTTAGCAGTTGGGTTTTAAGGTTTTGGGAGCAGAATGTAGGTCTTAGTTTGGGTGTTTGTAAGGGTAATGGGGGACGGAAACTGATGCTGTTGATCTTTGGTTTGTAATTTGGTTTATGAATGTTGTAATTTCTGTTGCCCGTCATTTTTTAGCTTCATATTCATTCGAATCCGATTTCGTATGTTCTGTCAAGAGCTGTGATGATCGAGTTTCGGGATCAGTGAGTTTCAGACAGATGCAGATGCCATTTAGGAATTGGTAAGTCTGTTTAATTTTCTATGGTTTAATCAACTTTGTGCTTAAGTTAATTTTGATAGTATGTTGTATTCACATTAATTTCCTAACTTATTGGTATTCAGTTTGGTAATGCTTATGAGTTTTGTTTAAATTAGTTCAGAGGTGCTTTCAACTCCTTTGCATCATGCAACATCATAAGCGAAAATACGAATTTTTTTTTTCATAGTAATGATCGAACTTTGGCAACCAAGGAGAATATTTAGTAGTTAGGTTCTTTGAATTTCTATGCATTAGATCAACATTCTATAGAAACATGGTTTTTCTTCTTAGTTGCCATGGAAACTTTGGTATTGATAGGGAATGTTTAGCATCAAGATACCCATGTTTCTCAATAAATGAGAAGACCAGCACCTCTTTGTCCTCACACAGATGCTCATATGTATATGTTTGTTTTGCTTTTTGGCTCAATTTAATTTGGTTTAGTTGGTGATTTGGAAAATTGTCAAGGTTGCAAGTGTTATGAAAGATTTAAAGGTTATTATCTTAGTTAATAGTTGTTGTAACGTATGCTTTAATTTCCTGATTGAAGCTATGCATGCTTAGTAGGTTTCATCACTCTACAGCATCTCATTGTTGTTCTACTAATTTGGTTTAGTAGGTTATTATCATGTCACCATCCGGTTGCATGATGTACTATTCATGAATAATGCATCATGCAACCGGATGGTGACACTTCACCTGTCTCATGCCTTGGGTCCCCTATTTAGGTCCTCGAGGCATTAATGTTGTTTCAATTATCTCAACTACGCTGTTCTATTTTTGTGATAGTTTACCTTAGTTTTCTGTTTGTCCCCTTGATCTGATATATGTGAAGAAATTTTAAATTTCATGCAACTCTCAGATTCTCTTATAGATGGGCATGTTTCTTCCTCTTGTAGTTGCTATGAAGTTTTATGATTAGATTTAAGATGAAATGTAGTTGAACATTCGCCTCAAACCGTAAACGTTGGCAGATAATACTGTGAAGCAGTTTATTCTACTTACAATTTCTAGTTTGTTGTAAAATATCCTTACCTAGGTTATGTCTGCATGATTGTCATCACAACCTGATAAATTTGTCATAGCAAGTCTGTCAAAAAGCGAGTTGGATCCTTCTTTATTTGGGCACTTGAGCGTGTAATTTTTTTTTTTTTTTTTGAGAGAAAGGATGGATTACTGTTAATCTTAACAGTAATCCAGCCAGCTAAATTAATCCAAACTTGGTTGTTACATGACTATGCACATTCCCAACCAATAAGAATGTGCATTTGAGTTCATACAGAGCTTACAACCAAAAAACAAACTTCTGTTTCCCCACAGAATGTGCATTTGAGCGTGTAATTTTTTATGTTTATGATGTGAGCACGTGCATCGGTGCATGTAAGAGATGTGCAAGGCTTCTCAATTGAAGCCTGTCTACGATAATCTGTGGCAAGGAAAGCTGATGCAAAATGTGTGGTTTTGATGTTCTATACGCTTTGATGAATCAACATTTGTTTTGTTTGCTTCAATCAAACATTTCAATGTGTTGAGGCATTTGTTTGTATAATAAACAATCTGAACATTTTTCTCTGTTTTTTATGACATCAAGAAAGCTCATTCATGCAGTACAAGATTTTGATATGCTAGTTTATGAAAGAAAGAAACATGACTAATACATTTCTTGAGTGTTGGCAATGTCCTAGTGAAAAAAATGGACAAGTTGGAAATATGTAGACAAGAAACTTAGGCATCCTAACTAACTATATTATGACGATATCTGAGAACATCTCTCTCCTTCTCCCGGACTATTTCCCTGTGTTAAAGAGATGGGAAAGTTGATAATTTGGGGGATGCCTACTGGTCTTAAAGGATCATGACATGCTTCTCTCTTGTCCATAGTTTCATTAATATCTACCTTACTTGGGTACTTCTATCGTAAGTTATTGCTACACTCGACACGTAAAATTAGTTCTTGGACACTTTTTGAACATATAGATACGTTTATTTAGGCGTATGATCAATTATATAATTCCTTTTTTTATTTAAAACACTTGTCGTACGCTTCTTGGATGCATATCCTACACTGCACGTCTATTGCTTATATATTGACCTTAAGCAAAGGCAAAAAAGACCGATCTTATGTAAATTATTAAGTTTAATACGTATAAATATACATAACATAAATATATATAGCCGTATCCCCAAACCCTACCTTTTACAAATTTTCAGTGTCCTTTACCCGTACCCATACCTGTTCCCATGCAACTTAGATTAACATTAACCTGGTAATGGTAGACAGACTGATCACAGAACCTTGTTAAATCTCTCATATACCGTCGTACTCCATGGCCAACCCGAACTTCGATACGATGACGAAGAAGTAAAAATTGAAACATTGTACAAATGATGAGGGCATGAATGTTATTAAAGGTGTATATAGATTTAGGAGAGATAAAAAGCTGGTATATCTAGCTTATCTTGATGGAAATCTCTTATCATCAGACTATGTAGGAAAAGAAATTCCGCCTGGTTATCTTTTATGTGCTGGGTCCTTGTGGCATCCTTGATATTTGGCGTTGCTAGACTTTTCTTAATACCTGCAAGGGAATGCCAACTGCCCTTCCCTTTCTCTTGGGCTCCCCAGTTAACTATAGCCTGGCTGTCTCATCCTCAACAGCTTGAAGGATGCGCTTGATACTATAAATGCATTACAAAATAGGTTTGAGACGAGTTCACAGTGCAACAACATCTATGGGTTGTTTGGTTTTCTGCAACTACTGTACGGGCTGCGAGGATTAGTTTCACGACGACTAATAAAATGCGGTTGCAATTGCAATTGCGAAAAGCCTCCGATTACAACTGACGAACAATGCAGATTCGGGTGAAATAGTTGCAATCTTTTGAGCAAAACAGGAAGAGTTTAAATTTCAACTCCCATTGAGCAACAGAAGGAGTTTAAATTTCAACTCCAACTGCAACCAAAATACTGGCTTGAAACATATGTGCCTTGGTGAGCTTCTGGTTCTTCGAATCAGAGTTTTAGCGTCTCATGTTTGACTAATTTGATAAATCCGAAAGTCCGAAAGTATATCATTGATGGAAGCAAGCAAAATTTTCCAGATTTCTCTATTCTTGGTTTGTAGAACATAGATCAAGTGATGCTTGCTTGTTATTATGAAGATGTTTCAATAGTTAAAACACAGATGCTACAGTATTGAAAGACAAACGAAGCATCAAGTCTTGACAGTTTGTTGAGGATGTTCTTTGTTATCCTCTCTATATACTCTCATACGTGTTCTTTTTTTCAAAGTAAAATAATAGGAGCACAATATTATGAAGAAGTTCAAAGAAAAGCAAGAACATTACCGGTTCGCAAATCGGTTGTTATCCATTGTTTACTGCTTATATAGATCTAAAATACATGTTCATGAAATTCGATATCGTGATGATAGGATAAAAAATATCATTAAGACTACATGCAAAAAAGCCTACAAATACTAGCTAATCTAACCCTGACAATGACTAAAGTACTAATGGTGATGGCACCAGGGACTTGATGCAGCTTCCCATGCCTGCCAACATTTTCTTGCGTGGTCACTTGCTGAACTCAATTTCTGCACCTGCAGTAGTTTCTCCTCCTGCATCTCATTGCGCCTGGCAACCATTTGTCTGCGAAAAACAAGAACATCAGTTTATAACCTATATCTGAAAACTATATTCACCAAACAGAGTAATTTTTTTGGTTGTATGCCCGTACAAGTAGTTTGCCATGGTGAAATTTGCCTGGAATAGGTATGAAAGAAACCTCTATTCTCCTTCACTAGCTCCCTCCAAACTGCAAAAGCACAAAACTCAACAATCAAGTTTCAAGTTTGAGAGTCCTAAAGTTCCAAGGAGGAGATAAATATAGAGATAGAGACCAGTGAGAGTAATGAGTGGTTCAATACTCGCTCGCTCTGCTAGAGCCTTGACGCATCCATCCTGGCTCATTCGCAGGAGCAAGCATCTCTCTATCAAGTGCTGAACCTGAATATCGCGTTCATCGCAGTTAAAGACGGCATTGAAAACGAGAAGGATACCATAGTTCTACATGCACCAAGCTAATAACTTACCATTCTAATGTAACTTTGAGGGTGGCAATGCAAACAAGGGACATGATGATCATGATACATTTTCTTAGTCAACTTGAAGGATAGAAGACAAAATGGAAAAGTGCACCAAGAGGGAGTAGGTTGAGAGGAGAGGAGATATTTGATGGTTTTTATAAGAAAGGGGAGGGGGACTCGGGTCAGAGGTTGTTATCCATAAGATATCTGGGTGAAGGGCCAAAATGTGTAGAAGCCCAAGTGATGGATTCACCTCAATCTTGTTCTTGTATTTGGGATAAGAGAGGGTGAGGGTGAGCACAGACTGGAGATTGTATGGATTTGTTGCAAGTGGATATTGTGAAGACACCTGACATCCAACTCCACCTCCAGCATCTTAATACAAGGTCTTGGGTTCATGTAGTTTTCCTTTGTGCTTTTGGACCCACTTTGGTGGAAATCACTTCATCAGAGATTGAAAATCAGCCTCAAATCAGAATCTGGCTGAAATAAAGAGGTATAATTTCCAGCATTTCTAGAGCAGCGCCTAAAATTGTATTTTTCAGTACTTAAATTACTGAAAATTACAAATGAAACTATAATTTGCATAGAGTAATGCCGGCAATAAAAACGCCACCAGGGAATTTCAACTTTGTCATTTTCAGGTTGACATCATTTCTTTCATCTTCGATTAAAGGCTTGCGCAAGTTTATAGATCACAAAATAAACCAAAAAAAATTTGAGGGATTATCTTTAAGCCACAAGATGCTGAATGTTTGTATTTCCAGGGCAACAAACTAAATGATCTGTAGGCTGAAATTGAACAGCATAGCATTTGACTGAAGGAGGTCCATTAGGGCTAATAAACATCAACGTCAATATTCAGTTAAGCTTTTCTATCAACAAAGAAGAAAATACAAAGCAATGGAAAAGGCACATTCCTAAATGCTAGTCACCGGAAAAATAGAATAGATCAATGAAGCACAATTATATTTCGAGTGAACTCTCTGTACAAAATATATAGATTTTTTTTTAATCAGAGGCATAGAGCTATACACCAACAACATCCTCAAAAGCATGACTAACTTAAATTACATCTGCTTATCATTCAACAAGGTGGACTTAACATTAGAATAAATTTTCACCTATTCCTTTTGAACTTCAAACTAATCTCAAACCAATTCAGTTACTGCTCCCATTATTCCTCAGAAAAGACAACAGAGGCAACTGAGAAAGCCAAGAGCCAACACCAGAACCACCAAATTTACTCCCTTCCTTCCCTTCATCACCCTTTTCCCTCCAAAACTTAATAACATGAAGTCTCTCCTCCTCTGTTGACCTCTGCACTATTATCCTCGAACCATACCCCTTTTCCCTCATCAACTGACAAATCTCCGAAGGATTATTCTCCGTTAGCGTAACCATATAAAGCCACCCCTTCTCTGATAACAATTCATCAGCAATGGGAAGTATTCTATCAATCACTCTTCTCCCATTCTCTCCTCCTGCCCAAGAAGCTGTTATCCCTTCTTGACCAACCTCCTCCTCTGGCGTCGGTACATATGGCGGATTAACCACGACCACATCCATCATGCCTTTAAGTCTTTTCTGAAGCCCAGATGCTATGTCGGAGACTATAATCTCAGCGTGCACCCCGTGAGCTTCTAGGGTCTTACGAGTGGTTTCAACTGCATGGGGATTGATGTCAGTAGCGAAAAAGTGTGCGGTTGGGGTTTCTGATCCGAGCATGATGGCGAGGGAAGTGATGACATAGCCGCTGCCAGAGCCAATCTCGAGGCAGAGGGTTGGTTGATGGAGTAAGAGGTTGGCTCGATCTGCTAAGAGAGCGTCGACTAGAGCGAATGAGTCATCACACGGTTCATAAACCTCTGGGTGTTGGCTTACGAGTTTTATTTGTGCGATCCGAGGGAGGGTCTTTGACGAACCCTGTTCAAGTATATTTAGCGAAATGATAAGAAGACTTATTGATCACATCATAATACATAAATATCAATGTGATTTCAACAGCCCGTAAGTTTGAATTCAAGGAAAATTCTAACAAGGAAAAATTCCATGTCTGCATGTAATTACACTAAATTGCCAAAAAGTGGAGAAAGGGCATTATTTTGATATAGCAATTATCCATAGTTTAAGTCTTATCCCATTAAGAGAAAATCAGCTAAAGAATAGATGTGTAAAATTAGATCAACATTTGTTACCAAAGTAATTAGGAAAAGAGATGTAAGGATAAACATCGTATCAGATAAATCAGCTTCAGATCTTCTTGTATATACCTAACTGCAACAATCAATGTAATTAAATTGGATGAGACCTGGCAGGTATATATAATTTCTTGTAAGGAATATCGTACTGTAAATAAGATTTACACTAGAACAAGCAATATTCTGACTCTTCAAGTAGTATTTGGAAAGAGTCAGTACGGCTTGTGATGACCATTGCAATAACAACATAAAAGAGAATATTCTCCACTAAATTGGGAGATGGGGGGAAGATACTACCCATCCTTGTATTTAAAAAATAGTATGTTTCTTCCATGACAAATTCAAAGAAGCAATGCATTGCAAATGAGCCCCTTCATTGGTGTGAGAACAAAAATAACAATTAACTTCCATTAAGAATCTTTATAAAATAAGCATAGGTTATTCTCTTAATACATCTTAAATGAATACTGTTTAACTGGATTCTACTTGAGTGAGAGGAAAAGAGATGCCTACATAGGACATATGGAGAAAGAAAGAAGAAGGTGTTTCGTGGAGTGGGGTTTGGAGGAATTTAGCCCACTAAAAGACTTACTGTTACGGCATTTTAGATAAAAAATTTCTACTTAATCTCCTATAATTAAGAAGCATGAACACATAAAGTAGGACGCAAACAAAAAACAATGTAATACGACACACCTATATAGTAACATTCAAGCACATAAAAACAGCAATAACGTGGCAACTAAAACACCCTAAATTTATAAAATAATATAATAAGTTTCAATAATTCGAATTTAAATTTTGCATCGTGATGAAACCAATTTCCAATGCATTTCTATGCGTCCATACAGGAAAATCATGTCGCTTCTTCCCGTAGAGTAGATCAATATATCCAATTCCATCGCTTATAATGAAACATATGAATCATCATTTATATTATTCTTGCTCACTTATAGGTTCCCAAATATTATAAAATATGTATACATAAATGTATACCTATACACTCTTGGTGCCAGTGAGAAAGCTAAGGGTACACATGGATATAAGTATAATTGAACACAAAAAAATATAATAAAACACACTAAATTTCAGTAAATGGATGTAAGAAATTGCCGGAACATGAAGCTAGAACCTTACAGCTTATGGTCGAATTCTTACCGGCCTGCTCAATCCTTTTCGTTCTACAGCTGCAACATCTATTGTGGTGCAATCCATGGTAGCTCCCCCCATTATAAAACACCTAGAAATCATAAATCCATATCGACATTAAAAAAAAATTTCCTCTTAAATCCAAATTGGTTATGCATCACATTAGAAAGAACAACACAAATAGCTAATATAAATCAAGAAAAAAGACCCCTCTAAAATCGACTCTTTCTGAAGTTTAAGCGTATCCAAGTTGAATTTACCCTAGGTTGCGTTTGGATTTGAGAATTTGATTTCAACTTCCAGAATTGAATTCTGGAATTTGAAATCTAGAATTTCAAATTCAATTCCTTTGTTTGGGAAACATTCAAATTTGAATTCCAGAATTCAATTTGAAATTCATGTTTGGCAAACTTTAGAATTTCAATTTTAAAATTTTCAATTGAGTTGTTTGTCAACTAGTAGAATTCTAATTATTTCAATTTTAAAATTTTCAATTGAGTTGTTTGTCAACTAGTAGAATTCTAATTTCTGAACTAAAATTGTAGCTCGAAGATAAATTTTCAATTGAGTTGTTTGTCAACTAGTAGAATTCTAATTTCTGAACTAAAATTGTAGCTCGAAGATATTTTAGAAATAATGTAATCAATTTACATAAGTTATGCATCAAAATTGGTGAAAATAATTCTTGAAATAGTATATCAAATATCCAGCAAACTTGACATATAGATAATATACCTTAAAACCTAAAATGCCTGAATGTCAATAGTTCACCTAATAATCACCATAAAAATGACCGAAATCATTCATCAATAAAATTTTGTAAACTCATCCACCATTAACTATAACAATAAATAAAGTAGAAACTTCAAATATTGCATATAACAATTCAATAAACTCATCCACCATTAACTATAACAATAAATAAAGTAGAAACTTCAAATATTGCATATAACAATTCAACAAACTAGAGATCCAAAATATATATTGCATATAACAATTCAACAAACTAGAGATCCAAAATATGTTCGAGCTACAATTTTAGTTAATATTTTCCCATCATACAATGCCATGCTTAAGTTGCTCTCGCACTAGTTTCTTTAAAACTTTTACATCTGATTCAAATAAGAGTTTCTTTCTAATGCTTATACACTTTTGCTTTGTATTTCTTATTGTAGCTTTCTCTTACCGGTTCAAGAGGTCCTGCTTTGCGAGGTCTTAAATCACCTGAAATAATAAGAAGACCAAATGAGCTCCATTTTAAAGTGTGATACTATTAAGGTATCTCAAGAAAACAAAAGAAAAATAACCATGGAAATAATTATTCTTTCTCATAGTTGATAAAGATAGCTAAACAGTTAATATATGTATCATATAATTATTCTTTCTCATCAGGATACATGATTCATGTACACCTGTTGGGAAACAGGGTCAATATAACCAAATATGATTTGCATTTTTGGAAATGAGGGTGAAAATCCTATGATATAGCAAGTGTCATATTTGCATCTCTTTTAATACAATGGCTAATCAATCTTCATCCTTTTTGAGATAAAAGTTTCTAACATATGCATGAACTACAGCAAATAAAAAGTTTCAGTTTACAATTGAGAATCCAACTTCCAATGTGGGAAGAAGTAACTTACCCTACCAGGATTATAGATTTTCAAACAATCAGCCAGAGCAAACCTTTGCTTTTACTAGCTGTTTGCATATGTTCCAAGCACATCTGATGCTGCTGTTTTATGCTTAAGTCCAAGAATGAAATGAAAAGAATTTTTTGATGATTGGGCCTGAGATGTGAACCACATAATTTTCAGATGCTAACAGACTTTAATTATAGTTGAAGCATCCTTTAATATTTGTACCCAATTTTTCTCAAAGTTCTCAAGAGAAACAATTTTGTGTTGACTTTATTTCATGAATTACTGACATGCCAGATGCTTAAAGATGTTGGTTTTCATGAGGTTATTGGAGAAGACCGAACAGATCAGGTTCTAAAACATTTCCACTTGTGCACAAAACTGATATTTCTTGTATGAACCAAACTGATTTCATGATTTTTTAAACCTCAATTTCTGAAAGTACTGCAAAGGGAGTTGGATGCAACTGAGAAGGATAAGGATGCATTCATCAGAGATTTCTCATAGGTCTGCATAATTTTGTAAGCAGAATTTATTACGCACAATTGTATCTTTCTTTCTCATTTTCCTTGAAATTAATGTCATTCAGGAGGATTATGATGAAATTGTCAATGGTTGGAAGTCGAAGCTCAAGAGAAGTTCGATGGGCGAGCAGAGATGGGGACTATTCATCGCGAAAAAGAAATAGGCTCTGCATTGACCTAATAAGGCATGATCAATGTGCCAGTATCTATTTATCTAGTTGAAGGTGTAACTTTTGATTGCATGAGATTTCCTTTGAATATTAATGAGTTTTGTGTGGCTTTAGCCATGTCGTAGGCCAACTCAGTGTGATGTGTCCTATTTAATGTTATTTATTTCATGTATCTTGTAGGCTATTAAGAAGAAAATCTTATCCTGGTTCTTAGTTTAAGCTTGAATGTTACCCTAAACCTGTCTTAATTTCATTATAAAATTCCAAATCTGAAACTATCATTCTTTGATACGTAGAGGAACACTCTGTCAATTTCTACCTTCACCATTAGACAACAATGGCAAGCAATTATCAAATGCTTTTAACTATTCCTTCATGCTCCCAAACACTTTATACTACTCGATATAAACTACCCATTATGGACAAGATTTTAAATAACTAGACCATCAGCAAATTTTATAAATATGTATCATCTAACGATCATCCAAATGGCCACAATTGCAATATTATTAACTCATACTCCCACAATTTATGCGACAAATATCTACCAAAAAAATATTTAAAACAATAATTAGAAGCATGCACACCCTATATAGTCTATATTACTAGTAATTCGTTCACCTTGGGTGTTGGTAGATATACCCTCAACAAAATCAATATCTATTTGCCAAAGTAAATTATAGTAGTAAGTTCAAAACAGGGATACTACAGGACAGGAGCCTATGTGCAATTAGCCCATTTCTCTAAGCATACAGATTTGTGTTTAAAATGTGCGCATTTACATGTTTATACATTATCATTTCTGCATCAAGAACAATTCCAGAATTCTTGTCTACCAAATTTTAGCAAATAAAATTCAGTCTATATGTTAAAAAGAAAATAGACAATGAGAATTCAGGTATCATCCCAAATACTTATTCTACAACATCAACATGTGCAGAGATATCTGCTTGGTTAATCCCCTTTATGACCAGATAATCCCCCAGAAAACTATATTATCGCCTTGTATCGCCCTGTATCTACAAATAGACTCTTAAGATACAAAAACATCTGGGAAAAGCTCTATTAGATATGCTTCATAGATGAGGGTTGGTACATATCTGATACATAGTTCTGAATACTTGTCAATAATAAATGAAGCAAATTATCATTAGAAAGTTTTTTTTTTAAAACTATGATTTTACTTTTAGTTAGAATTGACTTTATAATATTGAACCTTTGAAGGTTCTCCCATTACGACATGAACTTGTTGCTCATAAATGAAACATAGACCTTTCAGGATCATATATTTTAAACAACCTGATGTGGCTTTCTAATATTAGAGAACAATATCTATGTTTTCCTAATAATTAAACCTTCTTATGCTCCACAAAGGAATTATAACAAACACTTGGCGTGCAACATACAGAACAAAAAATCAGCAACAAATATCAAACCATACCGAAAATTAACCTAAAAAAATTAAATCCATTACTAGATCCAAGAAAAAGAAATTAACCATCGTTGGCATATAGAAGAAGATAAAGAGAGGTGAAAGCTTGAATACCAAAATCTCAATTTAAACTTGAATCCCAAAATCTCAATTTCTATCTAGCGTTAGGGTTTCGGAAGAAGTGGAGAGGACTGGGAGGGAGCTCGGTAGAGAAATCAATCGAGAGAATAGAGTTTGAATCTAGAATTTAGGGTTTCGGTGGAACTAGAGTCTAGAGATAGAGGATCGAGAAGTTCTCACCATTTTCGATGATCGTCGTCGTCGCCGGAGGTGAAATTACGGCTTGCAGGTGAAACTGGATCTCGTCGTCGTATTCGTCGTCGCCACCGCCGGTTGAGAGCGATTGAGAGCGGAAGTGGGAGGGTGAGAGATCGCGGCCCTTAGGTTAAGATTTAGAAGAGTGATGCTACAGGGACCCCCAAATGAGGGGACCCTGTAGGGGACAGTATAGATTTACAAAGGTTAATAGATTTGGGCCAATATCTAGTATTCAAATTTTTTGGATCCAAATAATAGAATTGCACCAAATACAATATTTAAAACAAAATCCTGGTTACCAAACAGGCTACTAAGAAATTCTACATTTTATAAGAGATTGAAAGATCTCTGTAGAACTCATAGCTATAAAACCCCATAAATAAATAAATAAAACCAAAATTAGAAAAACAAATATGAGAAAGAAAAGAACCTCGAAAACCGCAGCCGCCGACGGATAGGGCAAGAAGAGGACGACGAGAGTGAGACGGTATCCATTAAAACGCGCTATCTTATTCAGTTCGGGTCGGACTTCAAATGAAAAAGCCCGATCCGAACAACCCGTTTCTCATTCTTCACACGTGTTTTCCGCGTGACCGTAGTACTGGTACTTCAACTGCATCCGTTTTCTCTCTTTCTTGTCCTTCGCCTGCGAGATTTTCCCCCCCGATCGAAGACGATGATCTCTCAGTTCTTCGTTCTCTCTCAAAGAGGCGACAACATCGTATTCAGAGACTGTAAGTCCTCTCTCCCTCTCTCTCTCTCTCTCTCTCCCCTCTCTCTAGGGTTTTAGAAGCAATTCAAGAATTATCGAGATCTCTTATTGTCGAATTGAAGATTCATGAATTTGGGATCAAATAGGCATTTGGATCTACTACTTCTTTATCGATTTGAGAATCCTGAGATCTTGATCTGATTCCAACTTAGATCCTTGAGCTTATCTCCGTCGTCAATCGCAGTGTTGAACCTTTCGGCTGTATTGGATCTGAGTATTGCGTGAGCTTAGCTTATACCACATTTTTCGTGGAAATATAAAGTTAGCATGTAATTTCTCATATATTATCACGAGTCATCTGCTGTGGTGGTCGACAGACGTTAATTTTTTCTGTAAAGTACTTAAAGATGTATGATTTTATATTTTCACGACCTGATGTGATATGTTACAAATGCTTTGGTTTATTTGTGCTGCGTAGGATACTCTGTTATCTTTAGAAACAATTGACGATCCTTGTTATAGCTTATGGTGCGATTTCGATTTCATTTCACGTAGTCGCTGTGCCTCTTTGTCTAGAATCGTTGCTTGTGTAGTGGAATTTAAGTAGAGTGGTGACTGTGGTAAAATTGTGTGTTTTTTCTTTCTGTGCTAGGCAATAGATCTATGCTAAGCTTAGAATTTTTCCACTGTTATAACTTTTATGTTGACTGTGGTCTCAGATCGTGGTGAAGTGCAAAAAGGGAGTGCGGAAATATTCTTCCGCAAAGTGAAGTTTTGGAAAGGAGAGGAAGCGGATGAGGAGGCGCCACCTGTCTTTGTAGGTATTTGCTTATATAAATTTATTTTAGGATCTGTATGATATTATCTTTTGTCCTGAACTTCAAAGAAAATGTAATGTTTTTAAAATGATAACTGCATGAAGATGAAGCTATTGTTGGTACTAGTCCAAGGTTCTCTCACAGACATGAAGTTTTCTGCCCCAGTATGCCCCTAAAATAATCTGTCCAATATATAATTGTTTTGTTTCTGTATTGTTTTGAGAAGACAACAACTAAAAAGAATGCTCCTGAGCTTTGTATATAAATGCATATATTCTATTGCTTGAATTTTCCTTTTGGCCTCGGTGCTTCCAAATCTTATTTGTTGTTTTAACCCATTCTATTTTCTGCTATTAAATGTTGTTTTTTTGTAGAATATATTTTTGAAGAAGGCATTGATCTAGGAGATCTCCTGCGAGCTTATTCTATTATTTTTATTTTTATTTTTTTTATTTTTTTTGTACTCACATTCATATTCCTTGTCACAGAATGTAGATGGGGTGAATTATATTCATGTGAAGGTTGCTGGACTATTGTTTGTGGCGACCACAAGAGTTAACGTGTCACCGTCATTTGTTTTGGAGCTTTTACAAAGAATTGCACGTATTATCAAAGATTACCTTGGTGTTCTAAATGAAGATTCATTGCGGAAAAATTTTGTTCTTGTATACGAATTGCTCGATGAAGTGATTGTAAGTATCATTTTCTATTGCAGCACTCAACAACTTTATTACTTTTAGCAGTTTTATTATTGTTGTTGATGGTTGTTGTTATTTGAATAGAATTGTTTGCCTTTGCCTCATTGCTTTTACAGGAATAAACTCATGATATTGATCATAAGGTGCTTATTTCAAAGCTGTGTAGTCCTAGACAATGGCAAATGTGGTTTCTGGCTCACGATAGCTTTGTGATGGATGAATATGATTTATGCTGCAATACTGACTTAAAGGGCTCCTAAATGCAATGTTATGAACAATCAGATAATCTAATACAATGAAAAAACTATATGGACATCTATATTAGGTCAGACTGAGAAGCTCTTGAGACACGCAACAATTAGATGTAAATAAAACTAATGATATAACAAATAAACCTTAAGTGAACGCAAGTGAGCATAAGTGAGCTAATAATTTCTAAACCAGCTGCTAAATTGATGTCCTGCTTTAACATAATGAGGAAAAATGAATAACAAACGGAAATTTTTACAATAGGCTATATCCAATTGCAGCAAGAGAAATTCACAGAATACCTTTGAAATTCACTGAAAAATGCTCAATCAATTTCTTAATATAGTTTGATGCTGCCACTTATGCAGCCACATTAAAAAAATGCATAGGTGGATTGTATCAAATATGTGTTACTCATTACGTGAACAAAGTATGTTTGTGTTGTGTGCTCGCTTAAATACACTGTATGACTATTAACTCTCCTAATCAACAACACTGCAGGTTAGTTTCTAATACATTAAAATATGCAGGTGGAGCCATTGAATGATGTTGAATTGGGGGTATTCATTTTTTATCATTATTCAGGAAAACCAAGTATGTGGTCCATACTTGGTTAAACACTCTAGAATGATGAGTGCCATATCTACCGTTTGCATTTATACATGAGGGTTCTAATGTTAACCTGTTAATTTGGCCCAATTATTGACAAGAAAGTCCTAGTGTCTGAATTTTCTATCATCCTCTCCCCCTCACCCATATTATGGTATTCACTGGTGGCCATGCTTAGTCAGATTGGTAGTTAAATAGCAATATCTTCTATTTTAGGTGTTCTACAACTCCCCCTCTATCATAAGGTTCTTCTTATTATTTATTTCATTTAAACAATTTGATGTTATTTTCTACATTGACTAAATATATGATATAATTGACAATTTTTATGTATCACATTTACATGATAAATGAAACTTTAATATGAATAAGACATCTATAAATCAATGAAACTGAAGTTGCCAGTATACCCAGCAGGAGGTAGGTTTGTCAATTCCCACAATTCATTTTCATCCTTGTTAATTAGGTTTTTTTGTGCTACCTTGTTTGCAATCACACTTGTGTCTGCTTGTGCTTTCTCTTCCTACTCCTCATCAACCAGTTCCCATTTAGGTTCATCATTGCTCAATATGTGTTAAATAATGTATCCATTCTCGGTTTTGGATTTCATTGTGAATTTACTTTTATGAAAATATTTAACTAGTCTAATTATTGTCTTTTTCCATCTTCTCGTTTCTACTTTCAGGATTTTGGTTATCCACAAACAACTTCAACAGAGGTTTTGAAGTCTTACATCTTTAATGAACCTTATGTAGTTGATAGTGGACGTTTACCGCCTCTTGGGCCTGCAGCCATGTTTATGGTATCTCATTACTTTTATCCTATATTTTAACAGAAGACACTGTTGCTACATATTCTCGGTGCCTCTGATTTCAGAATTACTTGATTGGATATCTGTTAACTAGTAATGTTTGCATTGTTGCAGCAAAGCACTAAGCGGATGCCAGGAACAGCTGTCACGAAGTCTGTTGTAGCTAATGAACCTGGTGGTAGGAAGAGAGAGGAAATATTTGTGGACATTATTGAGAAGATAAGTGTCACTTTTAGCTCCAGTGTGAGTGTTAACATACTAGTTTCTAAAACGTTCCCTCTATCTTAGATCTTTATTGTTTTAGTTCCGCTTAGATGCAAGTTAATTTTTTAATCCAATGCAAACTGGCCATGGTAATAAGATCCACGCTGCTGGCGTGATCAGCATGATTTTCACTTGACCAAATTTCACTTCACCAGACTCAGTGTAAATGTTGGTTAGTTTCAAGTATAGTTTCAATGTGGCAAGATGGGTTCGCCAGTTTCACATTGTCAGATTCCAGACCTGACCCAAACCTAGTTTTAGGTTTAAAACTTTTCTCATACAAATCCCTTAAGTTAATTTGGCATATTTATGCTTAAGGTGACATTTAAAAGATCTATTCAGTAGTCCACACTATTGTAGTCATATTTGTATAGATGCTATGTCGGCTCAATCATGCATTGTCTAGAGTGAAGATAAAAGGCAAGCATGCAACAAGAACTAAGCCTTTCTCCCAAATGTTTGGGGTTGGGTACATGGATCCTATTCTTCCGTTCTATTCTGTTATAGGTTATGTCCCCCACTAAGTTGATCACTGTCCTATCCTTTTTACTTGCTTCCAACCGAGTTCTATTGGGTGTCTCTAGTCATCCATACTTAGTTCATTAATTATAATCTTATCACTTCTCCTAAATTTTGCATTTATTAGCCTCCATTGCACGTGGCCAAAACATCTCAATTGAGTCTTTCATTTTATCCTCAAAAGGAAAGTATAGTTTCAGTTATTTTAAAAACATGAAGGTGCAACTGGCAAAGCTGTTGAAACCATGGGGTTTATCAGCTATTTTTTATTGGGTTGGCTGTCAAAAGTGGGGACTGGACAGGCTACTTGCTCATGAGCCAACTAAAAATATTTTTCCACTGACTAGTTCTCACGACAACCCATAGGATACCTGTTTTCATTTTCTTTTACTTTCTCACGTGAAATGCAAAGGTTTGAACACAGATTTTCCCACATTACCTTTAAAAACATTAGACTTCTCGAAAGTGCATGCCTATAAGTTGAACTTTAGTGGTAGAGGCTTGTTTATATTTGTTCTTAATGTTTTTCCCCTCTTTTTAGCACATCATCTATTTTTGTTATTCTGTATCTTTTATCAATTTTTTAATTGTTCAATGTACTTCATAAAGATACTGAAAGTGTAAGGACCCTGGATCAATGCTCATTGCTCCATGCAGACCTGAAGTTATTCTAAATTACAGCTAACTTGATCCAATTTAGTACCTAAGAGCTTTAACTAGGAAAGCAATCATATCAGACTGTTGCATATAGGGCTCCCTACAGTCATGTCTCCACAAATCTTGGCTAATGGAATTTATTAACTGTTATGTCACTACTTGCTAGTTTAATTTTAGTTATTATTTCTTTCAATGCAATAGTACAATCTTATCAATTCTCCTCTTGAAGACTAGCGAAAAAAGTCCACATGAAAAAATATACATTTTCCTTGGCTCTAATAACTTATATAACACTAGTATTATCTGGATACTTTTTCTCCATTACTATTACATGACAATCCAAATTTTGTTAGAGTATCGTCATGCTAAATGTATCAGCATAGTTGATAGTAGTCATTTTTTAAATAAATTATTGATTACATAGCTCAACATTATGTTAACAGGGTTATATTCTAACTTCTGAGATAGACGGAACTATTCAGATGAAAAGTTACCTTACTGGAAATCCAGAAATACGACTTGCTCTTAATGAGGACCTGAGCATCGGTAAAAGTGGGACTTCTGCATATGGTATGTAAGGGCTACTTTTCCTGGTAAAAATTGTGGGTGCACTATAGTCAGCATTTGAGCAGTCTTTTTTTCACTTTATTTATTAAATTTTATTCCTTTTTAATGTACTGTACATGTGACGTATCATCCCTTGTGTTCTATTAACTATTTGACATAGTCTGCCCCTCTTACCTAGCCAACATTATCTCTTTTTAGCAAGGTTTTAAATGTCAGATGTCGGGTTCATGTCGGATGGCTGAAATCCATATCGGATAGCGGAAATCGGGGATATATCGGGGGACATTGACTAAATATCGGATTGCCATATCGGGTAGTGCGCATATGTATAATATCATGTCCTAAATGTAATCTAAGCATTCATAAATTCAATATAAGCATACTTTATAAATTCTATAGACTAAACATATAAAAAGTAAATAATATATGGATTTGGGTTCATAATTTTTTTTTATCGGGTTCATAAGAAACCCTTAAACATGAGAACGAGTCAAACGGGTTTAGATATTTATCACTAAACCCAAACCCGATAACATAAAACAAATCTTAAAAAAAGTACAATATCGGCCGATTTTTTAAAGCTAAAAAATAGGCCGATATGACCCTGATATTTTCGATTTGGCCCTAAAAACCGACATACGAGTTGAAAACGTCCATGTCGTGTCGGTCAAGCCCTCAAACCGATATGTCGGCCGACATGTCGGACATGTCGGCCGACATTTAAAACCTTGCTTTTTAGAGTCAACTGGAAGCAGATATCAAGTGATTGAAATGCACATTTACATTCAGTATTTTTGGATAATCTGAATCGATTTCATCCAAGTATGAATTGACTATGGGTTTACTGTTGATATCTCATGCAGCACTAGTCAGAGCTGAGTTTTTTAACTTTAGAGCTGTTTAACTGAAAATTTTTAGGGCATGTGGAGACGTGCCTGAAATTAAATTGAGTTGTATAAGGTTCTTTATGTAGTGGATGGCTATTGAGTTGAAGTAGTAGCTGTAAAATGTATAATGATCAAATTGTTGAGATATCAGTACTCTTGCAGAATTCGAGTTCATCTGAGGTATATGAGTAATATAAATGCATTTAGGTTCTGATTTCATCCAAGTATGGATTGACTGTGGGTCCTGTTGATATCTTATGCAGCACTAGTCAGAGCTGAGTTTTTCCCCTTTAGATCTGTTAAATCGCGAGTTTCTAGGGCATGTGGAGACGCACTTGAGATTAAATTGTGTTGTAGAAGGCTATTATGTGATGGCAGGCTATTGAGTCGAAGTAGTGGCTATTTTGTAAAATGATTCTTGATCAAATAGCTGAGATATCAGTGCTCTTGCAGAATTCAGTTCGTTTAAGGTATAGGAGTAATTCAAAAAGTTTCTGATTTATCAAGAAGCTTCTTTGTGGAAATAAATGGATCAAGCAGCAGAATATAGCGAGATAGGGGAGAAAAGGCAAATATAATTGAGATTTCACACCTCTATTTGTAGATTGACTTGCAAACTATTTCATGACAGTTTGTAAAAGTAAAGAAGCATTTCATGTCATATTTGTTAGTTGAATCAGGTACAGAAATTAAAGAACAATTAGCTTCTTCTTCCCCCTTAAATGCACCACTGCCTATGATTTTTTTTGTGTTATTTTCAGAAATTACAAGTTGAATTAGATAATATAACTTCACTTTTTTGTTACTCCCTCCCATTGAGATTGTTTCTCAGGTCACCATTTTATCCATCTGAAACATGAATGTATCATGGAGAGATTCCTGCATCTAGATTATTCATGGGGGTTAGGTGAATTAGGTCAACATTAATTAAAAAGTCTTATAAAAAAACTAACATACTAATTGAAGCTCCAATATACCATATAATTCAATCTGAAGAAAGTAAAAGAAGAAATAAAAAGCACTAGAAATTTGAACGGAAAAAAAACCATTATGGAAATAAAAAAACACTACAAATTCAAAAGCCACTTAGAACACTAAAGACATTATGCATCCAACTAAGATCACCTCCTGCTACTTAGAAAATACTTCTAGGATTCTATCCTTACCGACGTTTCTTTCCAATCATTTACTTGCCTTATGGAAGTAGATCATGACAGTTTAGTGTGGAATACAGTTGTGATGATAAGCATCTGGTAGTTCCACATTTGTCTTACTATCCACCTATGTCAAAATTTTCGAGGTGTGCAAAGGACTTATGATGTACTGACAGTTATTATCCTTGGGTTACTTGGCAGATTATAGAAGCTCCAGTGGAGGTGGTACAGTGCTCCTTGATGACTGCAATTTCCACGAATCTGTACACCTTGACAGTTTTGATATCGATAGAACTCTGTCACTGGTAAGTAAATAACAAAATCAGAATTATATTTACAGCTAGCTGTATTAGACATGTTCAGTTCCCTATCGGAGTATTCATATATCTTTGCTTCATATTTATCATCAATTTTTGCATAGGTACCTCCAGATGGAGAATTTTCTGTAATGAATTATCGGATGACCCAGGAATTTAAGCCTCCTTTTCGCATCAATGCCTTGATTGAAGAAGCAGGAGCATACAAGGTATACTCAGCCTTCCCATGCTTGCTTTTGTGTTTTGTTGTTTCTAGTATAATTAACAAACTTATTGCCCCATTGACTGAAAAAATGATATTTTATCATAATCATACAGGCTGAAGTTATTCTGAAAGTACACGCAGAATTCTCTCCTACTGTCACTGCTAACACTATATCAGTCCAGATGCCTGTGCCAAGTTATACTACAAGGTAGCCTTCTTTCTTGATTTACTATTGTTCTTTTCTCCAATTACTGTGATATGTTAATATTGAGGACATAAATCATGGATTCTGTGCTCATGATAGTGTTGAAATTCCATTATCATGAATGCTCTTTTTATTGTTTCGAATTTTTGTTCCTTAGGTGAATCGTTATTCACTGCAAAAGGTTGACAGTCTCATTATCGGAAGTATCCATCTTCTATGTGGACCTTCATTTTTTTGTGATATATGATATGACTTTAATGTATCTACATAAATCTATATAACCATGACACTCCAGATTTCTCATATATTTGAGATGTACTTAGTTGCACTGGTATTTTGGTAAATTTTAAAAAATCCTCCAAATTTTGGGGTGCCCCCCCCCCCCCACCCCCACGCCCCCACCCAAAAAAAAAAAAAAACTTTATGCCTTAGATTTACGAGATACGCCCCCCCAAACTTGCTCTCACTACCACCCCCCCCTTGACTGGCAACTGGCTTGAAGGCCATATAAATCTTCACATGTGACATGTGTTTGGCACAAGTTTTTCCCATGTTAGCTTAAATAAACGGCTGTGCCATTACCCAGGAATAAAATTTAACCAAATTTTCAAAACCCCTTAAACTATTGGAATTTGCACATCCCCCCCTTTCTAAAATCTTGAGGATTGAAGCAAAACGCGCCCTAGACTCGTCGACTACAACCATTCCGGAGTCTTTACATGCGTGCTGCTCCGCCTCAACAGCCCCCCGCGCCCCCCCCCCGCCCACCCGCCGAGGTACGCGGGCACTCAAAAAAAAAACCCACGCACAAAGCAAGTTCACAACCAAATACCATCCTTCTTCTCCCTCATTCTCACCTACTCTTTTTCTTCCTTTCCGGAACGTCCTCTAGTCCTCAACTGCCATTAATCTCCACCTCATCCCCCTGAGCCCATATTCATCAACTTCACCCTAGCACTAGTGAATCACCTCCCCCCACTTCTTCCCCTTATTTTTTTCCTTCTCTTTTTGTTCCTTGCCAGAATGCTGTACTCCAATACCATTGTCTGCCTCCTCCCCCTCTCCCTATTTCCTAATTCTTATTGCAATGATAGCAATAATGATAGTTTAGACAATTTGTCACGTTAACACCATTTATGACAATTTCCAATAATTCAGGGTTTTTTTGTATAATTTTGAAAGTTCACGAGTGTTTTCTCTAATTTATAAAGTTTAGGGGGCAAAATGCTTTTAAGTTCAAGGGTTTTCTGAAATTTACCCTTTTTTTTGGAAATAGCCTGTCCTAAAAATGCAAGGTAGCGGCGTGTATAATAGATCAAAAATAGTCTGACCCCTTCCCAAGACCTGCACAGAGCATAGTGGGAGCTTCATGCACCGGGCTTCCCTTACCCTTTTTTCCTTACATTATGTCTTGTGTTCTTGGTTGTAAATGGCTTTTCAGTGACACCCCTTGCAATATTTATTCTGTTCTCAATGTGTTTGTAATCATGTTATTGGGTCAATACTCAATAGCCTTCAAGTCTAGTCACATGTTATTGACAAATAATTGCAACTTGCGTTTATGCGGAATATGTTACAAAGCCTCTCTAAAAGTCTATTGTATCACTGTTGGAAGTCATAGAGTGCCTTTCATCTTGCCTGGTCAAGAATTTTGTGCATTTTGATTTGCAGTGAACCAATATTTTGAAGCTATATACTATCTCTCAGTACCTATTTTGCAGCGGCATGTGCTGGAGACCCCTATTCTTGTCCAACATGTATCTGGGTGGCACACGCGTAACACTCTGTAGATATGCATGCAACACAATTTGTATATTATCTGACTTTGGACATCTTGGTGACCATTTTCTTTTGGCTGAATGCTCTTTAGTTTTCATAGTTAATATGATTGGAGATTTAGAGTTCATATGAAATATATTTAATACAACACGTATATTGTATAGCTGGCTTTGAACATCTTGGTGGCCATTTTCTTTTGGCCGAATGTTCTTTAGTTTACATGGTTACTGATTGGAGATTTAGAGTTCATATGAAATATCATTAATACAATTTATGAGATTATCCTTCTGTTAACCAAGGGATGTGGTGCATCCTGTCTGTCTCATATGTATAGTGTCTCATCTACCGGCCCTTGATGTTATCCATATCTATATTTTCATATAATCTTCAGATATTGATAGGATTTTGTGTGTGCATATCAAATATTATGATTATTATGGGCTCTTGAAGTGTATGATTTTTTTACTTTATTCTTCTGTTTCCTTATACACTAACATGCCTTTACAGTATGTGTTTCAATATAATCACAGTAAAACTCTCTGCTTTTGGTCCCTGCTTCAATTTTACTGGATATTATAGTATTTGTGATGTTTCTCATCAATCCTAGGATGTAGATAAATATTCTGCCTTGAGGAGATTCTTTTTATGTCTCTCTTGCTTAATCCTGCTTTGCTGGATAACTGCATTCAGGGTTAGTTTTGAGTTGGAAGCTGGAGCAGTAGGACAAACAACTGATTTCAAGGAAGCAAATAGGAGGCTCGAATGGTGCTTAAAAAAGGTAAATCTATGATCTCTCCATGTATTTTGGCCTCCAGAGATTTAGTTGTGCTTGTAGTTCTTTGGGGAATAAACTTTAATTTGATTATGTGGTCGATTATTTTTCCATATTGATGTAGAAATGTGGAATTAAAACTATTTATTGGTTGACTTGTAGTCTAATAAATCTCTAAAAATCCAAAATATTTCAGATTGTTGGTGGGTCAGAACACACTCTTCGCGCAAAGCTCACATTTACACAGGAGGCACATGGTAGGAATTGTTGAATTGGACCTTGATGGACATATTCCATACTGTTGGCCCTTTGTTTCATAGTTATAATTGGCATCATTCTAATCTCTTCTTTTTAAAATGTAGGAAACATTACGAGAGAAGCCGGGCCCGTGAGCATGAACTTTACCATACCAATGTATAATGCATCAAAGCTTCAGGTAAAGCTGTTTGAATGTGCTGTTTCATGCCTACTGACTCTGTTGTGTGTCATGTTCAGTTCTTGCTTTCATCATTTCAGTTTTTTTTTCTGCTAAACCGTTTGTTAGTATATTAATAAACATGTCAAAACTGACTATAACTGAGTAGGGAGGTTGAAATCTTTTTCTTTTGTTTTTATTCCTAAAAGATTTAGGAAATTGTTGTAGTTACGAAAGGTTACTTCAAGATAGATGTTAGAGAATGATTCAATATCATTTAGAGTCTTTGAACATGTGTGCTAATGGGGGGTGACATGGCAATCACTAAAGTGTCTGGAGGACTAGGATTAGACAAGGTAATCCTTGATTGAGGATTAAGTCAGTATGAGGTAATCCCAAAAGTTTGCAATTACTGACTCTGTCGTTTAAGAGAGTTATACGAATTCCAAATTTCATCTGATTTAAAATTTCAACAAATGGTCAATTTGTGGTCTATCAAATCACCGTTTTTAAATGCAACAGAGGTCCTCCGTCTTTTATAAGCTTATGGATTAAATTTTGGCCATTCGTGTTTAGCTGGTATACTGAAGGTCACCCCCTGAAATAACATTGTTATTGAACTATATATTGATTCTTTTTTTTTTTTGGGTGTAATCTTCAAAGTCATAGTACATGAATAAGATGCTTGGTTGTATGTATTGGTTTGAAAAGGGATCAGCATATGCAAAAAGGTTAACTGAGGTTACATTGTTTTTAAGTTGTGTATTTTAGATGAGCACTCTTTATTAGAGTAACTAAGCGCACTGAATTTGGCGGTCTCTTTGTGTGTATAACTTAATGGTTATTCTCATATGTGGAATATATTTGCATTTTTCTACATGAATGTCTGTTAAGACTTCAATAGAGTCCATAATGACGATGAGAGTGCAAGGGTAAATTTATTTCACGTGTATTTAGCTTTCTTGTTGACCGCTTGACGATGATGATGGAAGATTTTCATATCCCTCGAGTTATTCATACATTCCTCATGCAGTCACCTGTGAACAAGGATAGACTGTAATATTTGCTATCTTTGAATCTAGAGCTTTATGGGCATAGTTTTGTTTTCAAGTTTCATGCATTTTTTTCCCAATTGATTCACTGCCAAAAGGAAATTTTTGTCACTATTTCATCAGTTCATGAATGTTGATGCCAACGTTTTCGAAGTCTTTTAAGTAATAAGCTTATTGGTCAGTTTTCAAGTTCCCAAGTGCAAGATAATAGAGAGCATGATTGTGATCGCAAGTTACAATTTAGGACAATTGAGTGTGAGAAAGCTTATATTTATCATCTACGAACTCAAGCGTTTTACATTTAACAAAATGCTCATTGGTGACGTCCTCTCCGTGCAGGTAAAATATCTACAGATAGCGAAGAAATCCCAGAGCTACAACCCATACCGGTGGGTGAGATATGTAACACAGTCCAACTCCTATGTAGCTCGTTTATGAGCAGGTTGGAACTATAATCTATTTGGTGTCTTCAGAGACAGTCATGGTATCAGCAAAATCCTTGTTCCTATATGGTGTTAGATCTTGCTTTATTTGAGAAAATTGAGAAACTTTCAATGAGCCTTTGAACGTATTGTAAGATTATGAATGAGAGTAGATCGAAGTTTACCTCTTTGTTGTGTGTTTTATTGCTTTGCAAACTTTTTTTTTCTTCTTACGTACTCTTTTAAGGATGTTTGTAAGCTGCGGTGAAAAAAATCCTATTGAGGGACCTCTGTATAAAATCATATTGGAGAAAGGAGTTCAGGCGTATGTCTCACTACCAATTCAAAATTAGGACAATTAATTGTACAATATTGGGGTTATTAGATTATTGTTTCAGTGTAGATGACAACTTTAAAATCTGTGTTGGGACTTTGTTGCGATCTTTTTTTTTCCCTTATATGATTTCCTTTCTAGAATCTCTGTTCTTTTTTGTAAGCTTGGAAACCTTATGAGTGCTCTGGCATGAAACTATTGGTGGTTAATATTGTTTAGCGGTTCAATTACGTTGCCTTGTGAAAAAGTGTGATGCAATTAGAGCCATACGTCTGAGCGGCATGTTTGAATGTTTGTTATTGCATATCTGCATACGATCTAATCATCCAAAATAATGGAATACCTGTGGAAAGGGTGAAGGGATGCTGATACATTTTTCGTGTAAGGTTGCTTTGAATCTACTACTACTCTATATTCATAGGAGGATTCAAAGATTTACTATACATACTACAGTAAATACCACAGAATTGACGTAGTATTATTAATGTAGCAATATCATTGTAGCATAAAATAGAATACTGTGGCATTTACAAAAAATGTTCTAGCATTTAAAAAAGGAATGTAGCAAAAATAAAGAAATGGATTGTGCTTTGCACGGGGTGCACACTAGTCTGAAGTGATGTGAGAAAAGAGGGGGAAAGTGTCATATGTAGTAGATACATATAGTTGTCAATATTTATTACTTTGATCAGTTTTTTACGATCCTAGTTTTTGTAGTAAATACTTTGATTCTTTTAGTCTGGCCTTGAGGAGTATGGTAAGATGGAATTTAGGTAAAAGTTCTAGAATCAAGTTTTGGGAAGATAAATAGTAGGCCCTTACACCCTAGCCAATCTTTGTTCTGCTGCATATAAGCTTGCATTCTCTTGTAACGTCTCTGTGTCTTCTCAAGGTATGTTGAGGGAAAACATATTGACCTAGAAACCTATTCTTAGGAGAGCAATCTCTCTAATTGAGAAATAGCAAGTTGATGTTCTGCTTGATATCTTATCTTTTGCTCCTTCTTCGACTGATGCTCAAGATTTACCTTCATAGCCCCTTACCAAGTCCAATATTTTTTTGGTGAAGTCTCTTTATTGCTTCTTAAATTATGGAGGCATTTCATATGATTTATATAATTCTAGTTGGATTTCATGCGTTCCTCTCAAAGTTAAGCTCTTTCTTTGGACGTTGTCTAAGGACAAACTGCATACCAAAGACAACCTGATTAAGAAAGGTTGGTTAGGAGATCCCTTATGTCATGTTTGTCATGAAATTGCTGAAATAGCGGATCGCCTCTTTATTTAGTGCCATTATGCTCAATCTATTTGGCAATTCTATATGCCTAAGTTGGGTCTTCAAACTTTTCAGCGTGATCTATTCCAAATGATGACCTCTAAAGGTCAGTTTATTGTGGATAAGCAATATCGTTTGCTTTGGACCATCCTTTTTCCTATTTTGTGCTGGTGTGTATGGAGAGAAAGGAACAACAAGGTTTTTAATAATGAGTTATGAGCTCCCTCTAAGTTGGCTGCTAATGTAGCCTTTTTCTTGTTATTCTGGACATGTAGTACCCGTCACGAGAAGGCTGCCAGGCTGAAAATAATTTTTCAAGAAAAGAGGATTGATGAACTTTTGAGTAGCAATGAAGAAAATGGTAGATTAATAACAAGATGCTTGGTTTTTGGATGTATATTCTGATACTTTTAAACCATACTGAGAGTGCAATTCCTTTCTAATGTCAGTTGGGGTGATATATGAGCACCTCTTCATAATTGATTATAGCATACTCGTAATCCACCTTCTTGATACTCTGGAGTGACCAGCTGTGTTGTTATGTTGCCCACAAATATGTTGAGGAACAAAATTCTTTATAGGAAAGGTCGACACATGGCTCAATGGTGAAGCCAAAAGCAACCACGGGTATTTTGTTTCTTTTCTGAACATGCAACTAGCACGAATACGTTTTGGCTCATTGTTAACATATTTAAAAGTTGTTTCTTTTCTGAACATGCAACTAGCACGAATACGTTTTGGCTCATTGTTAACATATTTAAAAGTGAACTTCTTAGCTATAGAGTAGTATATAATACGTTTTGGCTCATTGTTAACATATTTAAAAGTGAACTTCTTAGCTATAGAGTAGTATATAAGAGCCACTCTAACTTCTTTTGCGCTTTTAAATTGTTGCCTTTTTCTAGTAATTGCCTCGTGTCACCATGTTGGGATCTGTGACGAGTCACTTCATACGTCGTTCATCATCCACACATGCTCTCCTTGAGGATTATCGTTTGGGATCCTCTCTGTTTCCTCGATTAGGATCCTCTCATAAGGTTTCTCGATATTCTCCGATGACTGTGAGCTTACATTAGGAGGACTGCAAATTGAATATAACATACATATAAGTCACATGTGATAATACAGATAATTGTTAACTAGTATATGTCACAAATAAAGTTGATATGTCAAGTGAAATGTCTTCAGGTTACATATAAGACGTAAATATCACAGTTCCCATTATAACGTGTATCCAGAACTTGAAAATAATTTTTTGAATGCTTACTTAAACTCTGTTTCTATCCCCATGGCATGCATGGATCATTCATCTCTTTTAGTAACAGTCATGGTTATCGGATTTAACCCCATTGAACGATGATAATCTATTATGCTGAGAATATCTTCATTTTTTGAAAGCTCAAACGAGACATTGGGAAACTTCTCGAGAGAGTAACTTATCAACAAATTTTCGTACGATACTCTTAAATTCTCTACAGTTTGCATCTTCAATTCAACTAAACTTGTTGCAGAATTGACTTTAGTGAGGGTTGTATTTGTGTTAAACGATATCACACACAATAAAGATTCTTCCATTTTGATTGTTGAAGAAGTTAAGAGGGAAAATATAAGAATATTTTGGTTGTTGAATGTTGTTGAGTAGAATCTAAAGACGAAAGAAGATATTACATTGAGATGTGATATTATTTGGAGGGAACTTAGTATGTTCACCTCCAATTTTTCCTTTCCCTCCAAAAATACTCTCCCAGCCATTAATGTCATTCTCCACAATTCTCTTGAACCCAATCGGATGTCACTTCCCACTGTATAATGGAATGAGGGCTGCTCAATAAGATAAAATAGTTTAGACACTCCATAAATGGGTACAAAAGGGTAAAGTGGTTAATACTTAAAAATACAGTATAAAGTACATATATAATATTGAGTTATGGGTGTTTTAGCATGGAAACTTGGGTCAAAGAGCTTACAAGGGGTTGACTCTAATTGGTGGTGGGGGTGCAAAACTTTTTACAAATTGCTTGGTCCAAGCAATTCTCCCTTAATATTATAATGGTGCTAACTACTAACTATGCTATTCGCTTGTTAATTGCTTCTACACTATATGTGAGATTCGGTGTGAACTCATTTGATGAGTTATCAATTGTGAAAAAAAAATGAAAATGAAAAGAATGAAAGAGGAGGGAACTTTCAGTTTTCCCTCGTATGATGTGGGATTAATTTGGGAGGAATAGTCTAGTTCTCACTAGCTCAAAAGTGCAAGGCTGCTAGAACTTGCCACTAATTAGCATCGTCAAAGATTCCACTGATAAAGTGGAAGACTTAATTGAATGTATTATACATAAAATACTTTAAAGTTTTCTTATTAATTTGACAGAACAAGAACTAAAGTATATGGTATGTAATTATTTTTATTCATACTGATTATTGAAAGGACAGAAAAGCCGAACTTATCAATCTTCTTATCTATTTAGAATTTTAAATGAGATAGAATGGAAAATTATCCCTGATCATCTAAGATATAATGCAAAAATTCATCGAAACTTATCCAAAGTGATTGTCAAATACTGTTCTTCCTTTCACACATGTTCAAATTTTTTACAAATCGGTACGCTAAATCTAAAGAAAAAGAATGAGTCTTTATTAGTTATCACTAATGATTTCTCTGGATTAATGAGTTGAATGAATTAGTCTTTGTTAGTTATTATTAAGAGAATTAAGCTAATTACACATTCCGATCCTCTATTAGAGGAGGTCTTAACAGACTATATACCCTATAAACAGCCTCTCAGCATCTCTCTGTAACTCTCTTTCTATGCCTTAAAAAAAGGATAAATGAAACTCCTCTTTCGACAAGAGGAGGAACCATCCGTCATGGATTTCTCACTCACACCCTTCCCTCTCAGAAATTATTATCATGATTCCGATGGGCATCCTCATCGTCTACCTCGTCCTGTCCTATTACGGAAATGTCCTGAATGTGAACGTATACATGAGGAGGATTCAGGGGAAGCTGGAGTTGCTGACGCAAGGCATTCATATGATTTACTATCCGGGTTAGTCCATTAATTTGTTGATCTCTTTTAGAACGTATATGCATCACAGTTAACCGTAAATGTGACATGTCAGAATGCTATGTGACAAATAAGCATAGCATGTGATATTTCAACGATAGTTGTGACAATTCAAGTCTAAATGTGACTTTTTGACCTTCTATGTGATATTTAGATCTTTTTTGTGACATTTGAATATTACATGTGACATTGAGACCTCATATGTGACATTAATGTATTATATGTGACCGTTAGAACTTATTCATCATTTAACAAGTTATTTGTCCTTTTTACCATCATTTAAAGGTACCAAATGAAGGTGATGGAAACAAATTCAGGCATTGTCTTCATCATTGAACAAGAAGAAAGGAGATTCAAGCGTTTATTTGTGTCCTAAGGTGCATGCATACAGGGGTTTCTCAAGGAATGTAGGCCATTGTTCTTTCTAGATTGGACTTTTCTGAAAGATCGCTACAAAGGAATCCTATTAGGTGCGACTACTTATGATGGTAATCAAGGCATATTTCCACTCACATTTTTGCGTTTGTGACCAAGAAAATGAAGCGAATTGGAGTTGGTTTATTCAAAGATTGCGGTATATTTTGTACAATCGAACATAACCATATAATCTACCCCATCCTCTACTCATTTCGTCAGATGCCGACAAAGGAATAAAACAATCTTTAAAATATATATTTCCAGATGCGTACCATTCCAGATGTGTACTTCATCGACAAAGGAATAAAACAATCTTTAAAATA